GGTGCAGGGTAACCGCACGCCCCCTGGTGTTGTGCACCAGCGTTTGTGCAGCCACATACCAGAACCCTGATATAGCTTATGCGGATCCCAGGAACTAGGAGCTTGGAATTAAGCAGACCTCCCAGGAGCTGAATAGGGAGGCTCTGCAGCAGGTTTGTATCCAGAACAGAAACAAGGCAAGACTAGAGATAGGCACTAAACATGAAAACAAGACAAAACTAGGAGAACCCAAAACCGGAGCAGGACAGAAAGCAGAACCCAGAACATGTACACAAGACATGAAGAAAACAAGAACAGGGCAGGACAGGACTGTACATGAACTGGGAATACAAGACAAAATAAAATAAGACAAGAGATACAAGTTAAAACAAGAGGAGACATAAGTAAGCACTGTATATGAAAAATATGGGGATTTAGTTACATTATATGATCATACATTGCATAAGCCTGCCACAACGCCAATGTACCCCATATTCGACAGGTCCTACACTGCCTAATGTTCGCTAAAAGAACCATACTAAACCACAATAGCACTTACCTGCAAGAAATGGCAGAGACTTGAAACACTGCTGCAGGTCCAGACTGAAACAAAAGGAAAATGGAAAACAAACAGGTCTGGCAACATAAAACAAACTAAACAAGAATTGTAAAAAGAGTACTAGATACCAGAAGCCATTGCCAGAATGATCCGCAGCGAAGAACAGGATGTGACACTCTGATCAATTGGAGGGCAAGTCTGGTGCAGAGCGACTGACCCGTGCGTGCTGCAGCTGAAACTCCACTATTGCCTGCTGCTGCTCGCACAGTCTCTACAGCATGTGCATGGTGGAGTTCCACCTTGTGGGCACGTCGCATTTGAGGCGATGAGTGGGAAGGCCAAAGTTACGCTGCAGCGCAGACAGGCGAGCAGTAGCAGGGTGAATGTCACATCCTGTTTCAATTTGTGGATCAGTCTAGTGATGGCTTCTGGTATCCAGTACTCTTTTTACTGAATCTGCATCAGGGTGCTGGTATGTGGCCGCACGTTGGTGCTCAACACCAGGGGACATGCAGTTACCCTGCACCAGACCCTGCTAATCCATTCCACACTGTGACTCCTAACTTCAACATCAGGCATACTGGGTACTGGTCGTCCGACCGTCGCCCAGACAGTGTCTGGGTCCCACCGGACTGCCCTCCTGACTATAAAACTGTGAATGGCTCGTTAAATCTGTTATTGTTCCTTTTATCGCTTCATCTGTTA